TCACTGTTGTTTATAAGCAAAACCAGACAAGATCTCTGGCTGTGATTTCACACTTAAAACACAGTTTTCCAGTAGACGAGTCCTCGTCCTAAGGGATGCCGGTAGTTTCTATACGGAACAAAGAGGCACGATGGGGGGTGGTAGGGGGTGGAGGAGCGGAGGATGGGTCTTGCTTCTTTCTTTCAAGGGTTCAGATAGCAGAAGGGGAATCTGCCATAGGTGCCAACTTTTATTTTTGCTGGGGGGAGAGGGGGGGAAGAAGGGTGGGGACAGCTAAGATGATGGACGTGTGGAAGGTTTTTGCATTTCAGGTGACAGCCCTCTTTGGAGGGTGGGGGGAAAGGGGGAGAGATGGCTAAAATGGCAATGACTGATTGCCGGCAGTCTTGCAGAAGGGATAGCAGCTAAAAGGTTAAAGTCAATCAGCTCCAAAATCTGCCGCACACCAGTCAAGAATGCAGCCTGCCAAAAGATTTCAAGAGAAGCCAGCCAGCAAGCGATGAGGGAAGCACATGTTATTGCCAGCATTTCAGACCTCTGCAAAGGGAGGGAAGCAAGTCCCATGGATGGCTAGTGTGGTCGGCTATGCAGGGGTCATAGCTTGGCATTACGGTCAAGGTTACCAAGTGTCCGATCACTGGTTCAGTATCTAACATGATATTCAGAGAAATTCATGTATTTCATAATTGCAAACTTCAGAAGCTTGGAGGCCATGTATGCTCAGATGCTCCAGGCTTCCTATGCATCCCAGCCATGGATACTCTGGCCCAGAATAAAAGTAATTCGTACCTGCAGTAACACTCTAGGAAAAGTCAGTGTGTCCAGATGGAGTTGGATGAACTAGAATGGACTTCACTAATTAGCAGACTCCCTCCTTCAATGGCCTGGGAAGCTGGGTAGAGCCCCACTCTCCCTAAAGTCAGTAGGTATCAATGGTGAGTGTGAGAGAGAGTGTGTGCGTGTGTGCACGCGCGCACACAGCTGTACTTATTTTCATTGCTATGGTTCAGGGGCCCGTGATCCACAGGCATCAGGTGCACTGTGTGTGTCTAGAGGCCTCTTCCCCTTAACTTGCTATTAGCTCTGTATCTTGGATGTAGTGCTGTTTGGTTTTAGTCTCTAGATGGCTTCCAGGGCTGGCTGCCTTCTCCTCTGAATGAAGCCTTTAATCCTTAGCATTGCCAAAATGTTTTCTTTCAAAATACAGCGATGTGCGGCATGGGATAAGAAATTATCCAACAGAACTGACGCGGGATAGTTTTAGTAGCCGAGTACAACAAATCTCTCTAGCTCTGAACGCACTATTTTAAACAAATAAATTAGAAATCAAGATGGATCGAGAACCATGTGCCACGGCCGGATCTCTGCCTGACCACAGGTGTCAGAAGCTCCAACTTCAGTAATGCTCTGTCCCCATGGAGGGCTTTGCAGGTTTGCATAAGGCACTAAGTAGTAACAGCTCCAGACAAGCTGGGTGGAAATATACTGGAAGGCTTCAAATGAACATGTGCACAACATCGCCCATGTACCCCACGGGAACTCTCCAAACTACCAGGAAATGGTGTTAATTTTGAAATGACAAAATAATCAAACAAGGAAAATACATGAAAAATGAGATATAACAACTTGAATTCTGAAGATCCAACTCAACAGGACCCATGGATGGGAGGCTGCCACCTAGATCCACTCACCAAGCTGGTGCAAATCAGAAATAATTGCTTGTACACAATTGAAGTTGCTATAGTTGCACATATTTACAACAACAAGGAACCTGGCCCACTACTTACGCTGTTGGATATTCAGTTTCTGTGCGGACCACTAGGAAGAGGATTGTTTTGTGTTGTGGTATTTAAATGTCAATTTGAATTCTCTTTCTAATGTGCAATTTCCCCTCTTGCGTCCTCTGTAGCATCCTACACTTCAGAAGCCAAGAGGTGACACGCTGGCGCTCGTGAACTCAATAAGCACACTCCAGTGACTCCACTCGGGCCGGGGTTTCATTTAACAGCTCCATTAAGTGGTCTTCAACCTTTATTCAGCAAACTTACTAGAGTGGTTTTCAACCTTTTTTCATCTTCTGACCCCTAAAAAATTTCGAATGGAGGTGCAGACCACTGTGGAAATGTCAAGTAGAGGTGCAGACTCCTTTGTATTGTAAATGTGGGTACTGACATACTTTTAACTGATCACGCTCATCTTGCGCGGACCCCTTAGATATAGTCTGCACACCCCCAGGGGTCTGTGGACCACTGGCTCACTAGAAAGGATTATTATTTTGATACTGGTGATACTTCATGAATAAGCACTAGGTCGGTGTGACTGGTTATTTTTGCACAAGAAAAACTTTCTCCCTCTCCTTTCTCAAATATATTCTTTTTTAGGTGTAGGACTTTTAAGACTGCTGACATGACAGAACAATATTCACTTTCCGTGATACTTCTGCTTCTAAGTGACACAGGGACATCTGAATATGCCACTTCAAATCTTTAACAGATGCAGCAGCTACTAAACGAGCGTAAGGTGCACAGGCCTGATTCGCCACGAGTTACTCCAGTTTTACAGTAGATTTCAAGACCAGGTATGCATCATTTTCTAGCAACTAAAGCTCCCATCAAGAAAACCTCAAATACATACTTAACTTTAGGCTTATGACTAAGTTCCACTACCTCAAACTTCCAGCCCAGCCAGTGCTCTAACACCCACATATTAGCATTATTTTCACACTCTGAACTAGTGTCTGGTGGGAAGAAATGGCGCTTGTCTATTAGTTACCAGAAATAATTACAGTGTATTACTTTTGCCCTTTTTTTTTTTTTTTT